ACTGATGACCTCAGGATATGTGTGATACAGAACAAAAGCTGTAAGTGTACAGGGTCAACGCCACTATTAAACAAGTGTGTAAGGAATGTGCGACTTGCCAAAGGGGAGATAAAGGATAAATAAAAACGAAATAACAGAGAACAATCCCAGAGGGGAGGCCTCCTAAACTAAGACCTTCTCAAAATTGGGGAATACAGAGATGGTTCAGCAGTTAAGAGCACTGGCTGTTCTTGCAGAGGACCTGGGTTTGATTCCCAGCACCCACATGGCAGCTCACAATTGTTCGTAACTCCAGTTCTAGGGGATCTGACCTCTGTGAGCACTGCATGACAAGTAAGCACTTATACACATGCAGGCAACACACCTGTACACATAAAATCAAAATGCTAAATAAAATATTTTAAAAATATATCCATTTGGACTTCACCAAACTGGCTAGTAAGGAAAAGCTCACACATTTACTATTGGTGATAAAGCCCCTCATCAGATGTACGGAGGCCTCCTCCTTCCCTCCTCTGAGCCTCTGCTGCTACTGCTGACAGTGTGATTAAAATGGATTTAAAGTAAGTTGTGCCATGATTTCACTCTGTGACTCATACATGTTGACTACATTAAATGAGACCATCATACCTCATGGCATCCCATATCATTCTAAAAATGGGCCTGATTTTAATAGGTCCATAGACTTTCTCACCATGGAAACGAAAACTCAATTATCCAGAAATGATTAGCTCTGCTCTTTCTTCAGGTTGCTTTGTCTAATGCTGATAAAAGACTAAGAAGGGAAGATGGGCACTGGCTTTGGAGGGACCCTTTCTGGTGCTTTAGGCACCAAAACCATGGTTCAGAGAACTGAAGAAGGTTGGGCCCAGTGCAGCTAGATGGGAGGCTGCCGACAACAGTACCCTTGAAAGATGGACACTCTCACCACCCGAAACCCTTCAAAATTAAGACTAACAAAGCAAACTGTTTTTAATCTGTTTATTTAAAAAAAGGGCAACTTGATATCTAATGCAACTAACAATGTCTCCTCTGACTCTTTAGTTACCCTGTAAAAGCTCAGAAGAATCAGAATTTTCTTGGATGGAGAAATGTATATGTCCCAAGATTTCCCCCATGGGTCATCAAAAAAGCCTTTGCATTCCAATGATATAGATTTCAAAGGCATTTTAAAAGATATTACCTTTAGGTAATAAAAATGTTATTTTATTACCTAAAGGACATAATTGATTTGTTTTTACTTTTGCTAACTGTACTGCTTATAATTTACTTTAGTTATTTTAAAATCATAATAACATCTTGATCTAAGAAATATCACTAGGGGGCTAGAGAGATGGCTCAGCAGTTAAAAACACTGGCTGTTCTTGCTGGAAACCTGGGTTCAAATACCAGCACCCACATGACAGCTAACAACTGTCCATAACTCCAGTTCCAGGGGATCTGACTACTTCTGTCTCCTGCGGGCATTGCATGACACAGGCACACTTACATACATGCAGGCAATACACACATACAGATAAACTAATAATAATACATTTTTTTGGTTTTTTTTTGAGACACAGTCTCCCTGTAGCCCCCACTGGCCTGGAACTCGCTATGTAGACCAGGCTGGCCTCGAACTCACAGAGATCTGCCTGCCTCTCCCTCCCAAGTGTTGGGATTAAAGGCGTGTGCCACCATGCCTGACTATAATAAAATATTTTTTAAAAAGCAGTATCTCTAATCCAAAAAATTTAAAAGTTGAATACGTGGGTAAATGGGTTAAATTTAGAGAACACGCACCCAATAAGCATGCGATCAATAAGAGTGGTTGTTATGCTTTCATGGCAGGATGTCCCCAGGCTCACAACTACCCTTCTCTTGAACAGAACACAGACCCCACAGAGTAAATTGCCTGCTGGCCCTGATACCAGATAAGGATGCATTTGAAAATAAGACAGAGTTTGTTGCCCCTGTTCCTGGCTATATAGGTCAACCCATGGGAACCTCCTCATCAGCAGAGAGAGTAAATCATGCCTCATGTCTCACAATGACAGGGGGATGGAGTCTCTTACCCTACGGGTCCCGAATATCCTGAGTGATGATGGGGCAAATAGCAATTACCCTGCACGAAGTGTCTCCCATGCTGACATCTGATGATACTGTAGACTGGGGACCCTTTGCTCAAGCCTACCACCTAACTGGCATGGGACCTGTTTGCTCATTCAGCTGGCTATACTTTTTACCTTGTCCTTCAAATCTCGTCCTCTTAGTGAAGGTAACCCCAGGACTAACAGGTCACTATTTGGGTCCTTTAATGTCCATGTTGACTCTGTAACAGACTCCTCAGGAGAGTTCCAAATAAATTTAGAACTAAAAACCAAATAACTGCAGGTTTCACATAGAGTATATTTTAATGGTCAATAATAAAATATAAATTAATCTAAAAATTTCCTAGACTTTACTAAAATATACCTTGATGCTATTTATTTCTTAACATATCAGTTTTAATTTGTTACATCATAGTTTATTTCTTATCTACAACTCCAAACCAGGATGATGCTTTTTGACTCAAAGGAGGGTTCAGACATCAAAGGGGGGGATGTCACAGGAATCCCCCCGAGTAAAGAAAAAGAAACGCATCATGGTCTGTGCCTGAGTGAATGCACATAGTTCTGCTTGTCATGACCTTGTACCATGGAGCACCCGATCAGGGCATGTGTGTTACCATATATGGAGATGAAGACACTGAACTGTATATACTATATTAAAGGGTAAGCTCTCAGGGCTGGAGAGACGGCTCAGCGGTTAAAAGCACTGACTGCTCTTGCAGAGGACCCGGGTTCGATTCCCAGCACCCACATGGCGGCTACGAAGTGTCCTTAACTCCAGTTTCAGGGGAATCCAAAGCCCTCTTCTGACCTCTGTGGCATTGCACGACACGGGTGCACTCACATACATGCAGGCAATACACTCATACACATTTAAAAAAAAAATGGAAAAAAATGAAAAAAAAAAAAAAGGGTAAGCTCTCGTTTGGTTGGGGCCCTGCTTCAGAGACATATAGCTCTCTGGGTCACTGCACCAGTACAATAAACTGCTTCCTGTTTGTTTGGCCTTTGGGGAACCAGTCTGCTCAATTCAAGGCTTGCAGTAATTTAGGCTCTGTTCTAGTTTGCCTTCAATTGCTGTGACAAAACGTCGATCACTACCACTTTGGGGAAGAAAAGGTTTATTTGGCTTACTTCTCCTGTGTCACAGTTCATCAGGGAGTCCAGGCTAGGAACTCAGGGCAGGAATCTGGAAGCAGGAGCTGGAGCACAGGCCATGGAGGAACACTGTTTACCGGCTTGTTCCCCTGGCCAATGCTTAACCTGCTTTCTCATACAACACAGGCCCACCTGCCCAGGGGTGGCACCACCCACAGTGGGCTGAGCCCTCCCTCATCACTCAACAATCAAGAAAATACCCCACAGACATGGCCACAGGCCAGTCCAAGGGAGGAAGTTCCTCAATTGAGGCTCCCTTTACCCAGGTGTCAACTTGACCACTAACGCTCTCCAGCACAGGCTCCTGGCAAACACGTGTGTGTGTGTGTGTGTGTGTGTGTGTGTGTGTGTCTGTCTGTCTGTCTGTCTGTCTGTCATAGATGGGGGTCTCCCTATGTAACCCAGGCTGGCCTCTAGCTCTGGACACTCCTGTCTCCGTCTCCTTCCTCCTGCATTACAGGTGCATACCACCACACCTAACTTTTCAGTCCAATCTAAATTTACTAAAATTAACTTAGATTGCACATTATACTTCACATGTGTGTATCATTTAGAGATTAGCTAAGAACGTGTTAATGTGGTGGAAGGATTCAACCGGGCCTTACTGAAGGCAGGGGCAGGAAACAGCCGTGGAACCAGTGCAGGTGGTTAATGAACACAGGGGGCTCTAGGTGCAGTAGGCTGTGTCCAGCAGGGTATGTGCTGACCTGAAGCTCTGGAGACACAGAACTTTGTCCCAATGGCGCATATGCAGGAGGGTCTGTGGATAGGTGGGTTGTGTGGTATCTCAGTGATACAGGCCACTCCCTTTCTAAGACTGAGCTGAGGGACTTGCATATTCTCCTGTTGGTTTGGTTTGTGTGAGAAGCTGAAGATATGGTTTCTCTGATATGATTTTGGTTCACCCGTGATTTAACTTGCTAAGTTCATAAACGGGGACTTGATTTGCACAAGCAAATGATTTTTATTAGTTCATGACTTGGGCTGGACAAAGGGCTGTTTATTTGCACAAATAAAATGCAGTCATTCTGCCTCAGCATTTTCAATGAAAATGGGGCCCACTGTGGCTTTATAGAAAGGAGTCACTCAAGGCAAGGCACAATCTGAAAACTGCCGCTGTGCATGGCATGGAGCGGCTGGGAAACAGGACACAGACTGGTATCTTTTCCACGTGGTTGACCTTCTGTCAGGCACCCTTCCCAAGCCCTTCACCTTCCCAGTGAGTGCTGGGTGGGTGGGGCAGATAAACCATCTTTGTAGGGGCTGCCTCCAAACCCAACCCAAGAAACGACTGCCTACTGGACCCTGGGACTCAATGGGATGCGGGGCGGGGGGGGGTCCCTGAGAGGCACAGTCATAACCACTTGTTTGGACACTCGGCCTGAGGCATCTTTGACCTGTGTGTGGACTGCCCTGAGCCAGCCACATCCACACTCACTGCCACATCTTAGACTGGTGATCTAGTACTGAATCCTCAGCCAGTCACCTAGTACTGAGTCCTGAGTCCTAGGCCGGTCACCTAGTACTGAGTCCTGAGTCCTAGGCTGGTCATCTAGTGTTGACCCCTAGACTGGTCACCTACCCCAGAACCAAATCTAACATGACAGAGGGCAAAGCCCAACAGGAGGAAAGCACGTGACGCCACTAGAACCAGGTCCCAGGTGCAGAAGAGACGCACTTTCTGCGCGTGCGCCAAATCCACTTTCGGCCACCGGCAGTGCGCCTGCGCGCTACGTCACTGGCCGGCGCCGGGCGGAAGCGGGCTGGGCGGTGCGCGTGTGCAGCTGGGCCATGGCGAGCGCGGCGGGGCTGGCGCTGTGCGGGCAGGTGCTGGTGGTGCGGGGCGGCAGCCGGTTCCTGGCCATCTCCACCGCGGACAGGTGAGGACCGGCGGTGGCCGGGTTTCCCGGGTCCGCCCTGTACTGCGGGGCACTTCCGGGCTCGGCGGCGCAGGGCCGGGTCACGTGGGGCGGCGCTGGCCTGGCCCGGGTCCTGCAGCCTCGGACCCGGGAGAGTGCTGTGCTGTAGGCCGCTGCGGTCACCGAGCACCGAGCACCGAGCGCGCCTCTTCCCGGGCCGCGTGCACGACTCAGCTCGAGGTGCTTTTCGGGGTTTAGTCCGAACCGGGCAGAGCGCCAAGTGAGCATCTGCCTCCCCGGGGCCTCCACACGGCTGCTGTTGCCTTTTATTTCCTCTTCCTTAGTGCGGCCCAGTGTGTGCACAAGCGGGGTCCTTTTAAATGTTTTATTATTTCGTTCTATGTGTATGACTATTGTCTGCGTGTGTGTAAGTGCGCCCGTGTCGTACAATGCCTGGGAAGGTCGGAGGAGGGCGTCGGAGCCCCTGAATTGAAGTTAGGGATGGTTGTTAGCTGCTGCGTGGGTGCTGGGAATCAAACTCGGGTCCTCTGCGAGAGCAGCCAGTGCTCTTAACTACAGAGTCACCTCTGCAACCCGGAAAAGCGCGGGATTCTTTAGTCAGTGGGTGCTGAGCAGGTAGTTGTGACCCAGGAACCCAAGAATGGTCAGTTTGGACGTCTTGTTTCCTTTCCTGGATCGTTTCAATACTTGGACAGTTGACACGTGTGTCCTTCCATCTATGTCTTTGATTCTTGGACAGTTGAAGCGCATGTGTGTCCTTCTGTCTACGTCCCTGCTGCTTGGACAGTTGATGCACGTGTGTCCTTCTGTCTATATATGTGTCCTTCCGTCTACATCTTTGATTCTTGGACAGTTGACATACATGTGTGTCCTTTAGACTTGGAAAATGACTCTACAGTTCGGTGTTCAATGGGAAAAGCCTTAGGTGTAGTTTCTTCATAGGTTGTCAGCAAAATACAAAAACACCTTCGTGTGGGGGGTGGGGTGGGGTGGTGTGGGGTGTGGGGTGGCCGATGGAAGGGAGTTTGGGGTCTGATAGGGAGGGTGGGTGATCTTACATGAGTGAGTACCCAAAGCTTTGGTCAATGGGGGCTTTTTTTCCAGTAGGTGAGATGTTTCTGAACATCTACTAACTTTTAAATTTGGGAGCAAAAGTCCCATTGAAAACTATCAGAACATAATGTCTCAGAACTTTGTGCTGATTTTGTGAGAGGAACGTATTGATTCCAGCCTGCTCCACCACGTCCAGCGGTTTTGATTTTTGCACAGAACCATGCTGACTGTGTATGGTGTATCCAAAGGAGGTTAAGTGAATAACAGTTCTTGGCTCAGTGGATGAGATCCATAATATAATGACTATGAAATGTTTTTGTTTGACAAGTAAAACAAAGTAATCCTGTGCATTTGCTAACGAAGTATATGCTGTTACTTCCCGGTAGTGATGAAGGCGGCATCTTCACGTATGACTGCAGTACCGCAGTGGAGAAGTCTGCGCAAGAAGATAAAGGGTGAGGTGGTGGGGAAGCCTGTCCAGTGCCTGACGGCTGGTTTGAGTGATGGGGCCAGTGAGCCATGATGGTCCTTACGGTCTGGCTGAAGTCTAGTTTCTGTCACCAGTTGTAGGGATAGACTAAGTTCCATCTCAGAAAGAAATTTGGAGATAACTTTAAATCTAGGCATTCAGAGTACTTAGGATGTTTCCAAATACTTTGCGTTTCTGTGACTAATCATCTATTGAGTTGGTTCCTTGAAACAGTCATGACTGTTTCAGCTGCATTAAAGGCAGCTGTAGAAAATTAACTTGAAGGGAAAGCAACAGTGTATGCTTGTTTTGTGTGGCTTGGTCTTGTGGTTAGTTTGTTACTGTTTTTAATATTCCTCCCTGTCCATGAAGGGTAGGCTGTATGATCTGAATCTGTCCAGCCCACCTCTCTGGATGCTAACATGTTTGCTTACTGTTGAGTTAGATTTCACTCCTGTGAAATTAGAGCTGTTCTCTGAACCTCCCCAGGACCGTTTAACCGTTTAATATGTCTTCCCACCTCACCCGTGTTAGAAATTGACAAGTCTGGCCTAACTGTACTCCCCCCCCCCCCACCCTTTCCTTTACCCCCCCCCCCCCCCACTCTTTCTCAGGGAGGACAGACAGCCCACGGAGCAGGGGACTGACAGGATTCTGGCGTCCACCTTCTCCAAGTCTGGCAGCTATTTTGCTTTAACTGATGACAGTAAGCGTCTGATTCTTTTCCGTACAAAACCATGGCAATGTCTGAGTGTCAGGTATGAAATGCTAACGTCGAATCTTTAAGATGTCCTGTGCGCACCCTGTACTTGTATGTCAGTAGCGGTAGTGACAGTGACCATTCCAGCCGTGTGTACGGCTCTGATTGCAGTGCTTTATGTGTATTAACTGATTGAACCCTAACAGCCTGTGAGGGGGGCAGGGGCTTTGTTCTCTCACAGTGGTGGTGTGGGGTTAAGTAGCAGAGCCACAGCATGAAGTGGCTCCTCGGGCTGTGGTATTGGTACCCTGACCGCTGTGCCCGTCCTGCCTTCCACCCTGATGCTCTAGCCTCATGCTCGGCAGGGATAGAGCCACTGGCCCACACTCTTGAGAGTGTCAGGGCTTTTGGAGGTAGAGGTAGATGTTGCCCACTTATAAGCCGGGTGATGAGCATTTGTGTCTCGGGGAGATGAGGGGATGGGCTGAGTACAGGAGGGCAGGTGCCCTTCTCTCCTGTCACCGCTCTGCCCCATCCACTCCCAAGCCATCCTATCACTTCTGAAGGAGACACCTACAGTGTGAACCTCCTCAGTGCCACCATGTCACAGTGTTCACCTTGTGAACAGGGTGGGTGTCATTGGCACACAGTGCTGGGCTTTGACAATCTAATAGAAATGCTGTGGGTCTCATGAGTAGGGTAAAGGCCGAGTTACACTGGCTATTCCCTGGCATCAATGTGAACAGCACACAGAGCAGAGTCAGCCTTGACATTTGTGTGCTCCTTCCTGAACCTGTGATGATGGCCCTTGACTTTCTGTGTGTGTTCCTCTTTGCTGTTCGGATTATCTGACACAGGCAACTCAAGGGAAGAAGGGCTGGTTCTGGCTCTTACTTTCAGGGAGTACAGTTCATGGTGGGAGACGTGCGGTGGCTGAGCCCCTCACAGGGACCCCTGCAGGTGGCTGGGGCTTTTTCACTGCTTGGCTTTGACCTTTGGCCTTGGGTTTCTCAACAACTTCCCCAAACCAGGACTGGGGATTTCATGAGCCCCTGATGAGAACCTGCTCCTTGTTTAGGGTTCTTGGCTGCCTTGATACAACACACAGGTTCCGGGGCTGAAGCCATAGTTCATTTGGTCTGGTAAGACACTGCGGGCCCCAGGGCTGAAGCTGTAGTTCTTTTGGTGTGGAGGTCACAAGTGCAGGACCATGGCGACCACACATGGCATCTTCTCCCTGTGTCCACCAAGGGTTGACCCTTTTTGTGTGTCAGATCTCCTAAGTACAAGTCAGGTTCCTCAGGACCTGTTGCATCTGGTCTGTTGTTCCTCCATAATGGCAGATACAGACACATGATGAGGCACTGGGTGGCTCAGGACTTCAACTTATGAGGGCTTTGTTTTGGGGGGCGAACATAGTGCCCCAGCAGTCTCCCTTCCTGACTCTGGCTGCTTAGTGTATTTGTGTGAAGTACGTCCACAGCTTAAATCTGAGGTGCTTTGGCCCTCCCCAAAAATGAAATATCAAATGATCTAAAAGAACGTGGGCTGGGAGGTGGCTCAGTGGTTAAAGTGCTGGCTGTGTGAGTGTGAGGACTGGAGTTCAGACCCCCAGAATCCACATAGAGCTGGATGCAGGGCATCATCTGTAATTCCAGCATCCTCCAGCAGGATGTTAGATGGAGATGGGAATCTGTACGTTTTCAGGCTAGCTAACCTGGCATCCTCAGTGGCAAACAAGACCCTGTCTCAAAGTGAAAGGAAAGGACCCTGATCACATGTGTACTCTGTCATGTAAATGCCTGCACTCATGCATGAGCTTGGACACTACATAAAAATGATTAAAGAGGGCTGGGCTTGTGGCTTGGTGATAGACCACTTGTCTAGCATGCAGGAAGTCCTGGGTCAAATTCTCAGCAGGGTGTGTGTGTGTGTGTGTGTGTGTATGCGTGTGTATGCGCGTGCACGCACGTGCTCAGTATGTGATGGTGATCCTGCTAGAGTAAAGACCAGCTGTATAGATGTAGCTACAGGACCTGTGACCATGCAGGCTCTGATGCACCCACCTGGGCTGGGCAGGAATCATCTGCAGTTTATTTTTTAATGAAGGATGGAGCCCAGCAGTGTGCTCAGAACATTTTCTACTGCTGGCTGTGGACTGTACATGGAGCAGAGATGCTGTGGGCCCAGACTACCCTCTGAACCCTCCCTCTTAGGTCCTCGAGGTGTGCAACAGGCCCAGCAGCCCGGCTATGGGACTTGAGCAGTGACCAGACCACCCAGGGCAAGGAGATCTAGGTGTCCTCTAATGCTGAAGTTGTGTTGGAGAAGAATAAGATTGACACTGTTGTGGCCGGGCGTGGTGGTACATGCCTTTAATCCCAGCACTTGGGAGGCAGAGGCAGGCAGATCTCTGGGTTCAAGGCCAGCCTGGTCTACATAGTGAGTTCCAGGACAGCTGGGGCTACAGAGACCCTGTTTCAAAAGCAAAAACAAAGACAAAAAAAAAAGATTTACACTGTTGTGACTTAGAAAAGAAGGTGGCAGGTGTCAGCTCAGGTTGTGGCTGGAAGGTAGCGTCCCAGGAGCCAGATAGCTGTCTGGAGTTATGTTGTGCGGGTCTTTGGTTCCTAACATCCTCCTTCAATGGACGTTATTCTCTTACATTTCCTTCAAAAAGCGTTTCAGTGTGTAAAACCCAATGTGGTGGTCTGTGAGCAAACCTTAGAAAGATCCAGAGTAACTTGCCGCATTGCGAGGTCTATGCCCTCATCATTTGGATCGATAATCCCAGATCCTCCAGAGGAGGATGTGTTCACGTCCCCGTTTAAAACTGCACCTTAGGGCTCATGTGTGCTCCCTGGCGTGGGTAAGGCACTGAGATTCATCTACAGCCCCTGCATAAGAAACAGCTTTAAAGTTTTATTTTTATTTATGTGTATGTGTGTGTGCCTGCTTGTTTGACTGTAAGCATGCAGGGCCCATGGAGTCCATCGAAGCCCTTGGAGCTAAAGTTACAGGTAGTTGTAGGTGCTGGGAACCAAACCCAGGTCTTCGGCAAGAGCAGCCAGTGTTCTTAACTGCTGAGCCATCTCGTCAGCCTGCGTAAGAGATTTTAAGTTCCTGTTTCTCTCATCATGCGGAGTGTTACTCAGACCTTACCATCTTTCCTGTTAGAAGAACGAGACCTTACACACCCATATCATTGCAAGTAAGGCAGAGCAGCTTTTAACATGCTGGAGAACCATTTGTATTTTGTTTTCTTTTCATGTCCTTCATTTTTGGGTGGGAGGTGGTTTCAAACGTTTTGTTGGTTTGTAGGTGCCCTTTGGAAAAATCAAGCTAGAAAACAACACCTCTGAATTTTGGGGTTTGCGAAGTCAGCAGGGCCAGGTGAAGTCCTCATCCACTCTGGTGGGAAGTCAGTGGCATATGTTTGGGGGGCCAGCATGAGGAAGGGGAAGCGAGTTGGGGAGGCAGTCTGATCAGGATGGCAGGAGACGTGGGGAGTCTGGGCACCCTCCGATCTGGAGCTGGTGCAGGCACACTGGGAGGCTGGTGGCTGTGGACACAGATCTCTAGGACCTGATGGACCCACTCCCCTGAGAGGCACCACCCTTGACACCTTCCTTGCACATACAGTGTGTGTGCACCACATCACCCTGGGACTCCCTTGAGGTAGGACCAGACCGAGTGTTGTCCAGCTGCTGCTGTCCTTAGTCTTACGAAGGGTAATTGTGGGCGACGGCAAGTCCTTTCAGGTGTGGTTTAAAGTGACAGGCAGGGCCAGAAGTCCCAAAACTTGGGCTGGTTAGGAGACCGTCACCTGCCGTGGGCCCAAGGTCATGGTTGCCAAGTAAAGATGAGGACACAGAGGGACAAACAGAATCTTTAGTTTTGATGTTTCTCATTTATGAATGAGAAACTTTGCATGTGAAGGCTTACCATTCCAGAATATGTCCGGCAACAAGCAGTGACAGCACCCTGAAAGGTCAAGGCCGAGTTTGCGCAGCACTGGGCTGCTAGAAATGTAGGATTGGGGAGCTAGGGCCAGACAGCTGTGGCACTTGGGACCCTCAGTGCCTGGCAGGGCCTGAGCACTTTAGCAGTGTGGCTCTAAAGTCTGGCCTGGAGCAGTGCCAGATGTGACTGGGACCAGAGGTCCAAATGACAAAACTCTGCAGAGGACAGCCCCCACCCCCCCCCGGCAAGATAGAGAGGTGGGAGCACCTACTATCCTGTGGGGCTCTTGGTGTGAACCCTGAGACCTGCAGAATGGGGACATGGCTAAGACCTGGGATGGCAGAGTCTGAGGTTCAGTGGGGCTACTGCCTGGTTCTCAGGGGTCACCACCTGGACTGCACGCTGCCCTGTTTGTTGACTGACTTGAGCCCTAATCGCAAGCCTGCTACCTGTAGCTGCAGTGTGTTGCTGCCAGGACACAGCCCGAGGCTGGTGGTGAGGCCCTGTCATTTCAGTGACTTGGAGGACTGTCTGCCACGTGCAGCGGGATCCCGGAGTCTCTCGGATCACCGTTGGTTTGACTTGGTCACTCGCAGAGCCTGTGTTTGAGTTTGGTGCAGCTGATCGGTGCATCCTGTGGGCCGTTTGTTTTGGTTGACCCCACCCCCTGATTGTCTTTGTGCTGTCCCTGTCCTCCTTTGCTCCCAGAGCAGCACAGCTGGGGGTGGCTGGGTCTCGATGCCCCAGGCCCTCCCTTTCCTTCACTGTTCTGTCTGGTGAGGAGCTGGCTCTCCAGCTTCAGGTTCTGTTTCAGGCTGGCCTACGGGCAGCCAACAGCAAGGGGATTCCCGTTCTGCCCCATCATGAGCTCCTCAGTGACAGGTACTGCCCGTGCTCCAGCACTGAAGTGGGGAGGTCAGGTCTGCATGATCAGGTTATGTGTGCTGTAGAACAGTGTTAAGACGTGTGTCCCCAGAGAATGCGGGATGCAGAGAGGATGCAGTATGTGGTTCTCGAGGCCTGCGGCCCATCCCTGTTATGGTATCCCTGTCACTTACCTGAACAAGCTGCAGATGGGATTCATCTTAGGACCCACCTCAGGGGACTGCTGTGAATGGGTTGGGTACAACAGCTGTCCCTGACATATCAGTTCCCCTTCTGTTGGGGTCACGGCTGCCCTGTGATTTTTGTGGCCCAGTGCTGGGAGCGGGGCACCTGAAGGAGCAGGGCAGCCCAGGAGCATCTCTGGGCTTCTTGCCCTAGGTGCAGACCTGGCAGTGAGGGTCACAGAAGTGGTAGGGTTGGGGAAAGTCGGGTAGGTGGTCCTGCTGGGTAGGGAGAGAAGGGAGAGTCCCAGGGAGTGGTGTATGCTCTTGTCCTGACAACAGTCCAGAGGGCATATGCTGTGCTAGTGTGGCTGGCCCTTGTCACCTTCATGTGTGCAACAAAGGTCCTGGGCCAGGGAGCAGTTTCCCCAGCATTTTTATTATGACCCCTTTCAAATGAGTCATAGCCTTAGCCTCCAGAGTGGTGCGATTGCAGCTGTGTGCCAGCATGCCTGTCTTTTTTGTTTTGATCTTTTTTTGAGACAGTCTCCCTACAGCCCCAGCTAAGCTCAGAGCTCTGTGTAAACCAGGCTGGCTTGAACTCAGAGATCCACACCCCCCTCCCCCCACGGGGGGTAAAATAGTTTGTGTGTTGGCTCAATTTCAGTTCCTTGTGGTGTTTGTTTGTGACCCACCTTCTGCATCTGGGAGGTGTGACGACAGCCTGTGGCACAGATGCTCTGGACCTACAGCAGGCTCCCGCCCAGCTAGCTCCTCATAGCAGAACTATCGTTTAAAAAGGTGTTCGCTACCCCAAGCCTGTGACACATTCTAGCCTAACCTCACCTTCCAGATGTGCTCAGAACTGGCTGGCCCACAGCCGAGCAAAACCAGTGACACAGAGTCTGCCGTAGTCGTGTTGACTGCTTCATGGAGTTTGTTGACTGTTGTGGCAAAAGTGAAAAAAATGGGTGTGTGGGTTACTGTCCCAGTCAGTAAAGTCAGAGTAGTGCAAGTGCAGCCGTTATAAGTTGGGGTCCTTTGCTGTCTTGGAGGGTCTGTGGAGGCCTGTGCAGGTGGGTGGGTGCCAATTACCCTCTGGTTCTGCAGGGCTGTGGTGCGGAGGTGCACTGCTCTGACTTTCACAGCCTCAGAAGAGCGGGTCTTGGTGGCTGACAAGTCTGGGGACGTCTACTCCTTCTCTGTGCTGGAACCCAATGGACTTGGCAGGCTGGAGCTGGGGCATCTGTCCATGCTTCTAGATGTGGTAAGTGCCCCAGCCAAGGCTTGAGGGGTGGTGGGCAGAGTTACAGGGTGCTCCCAGAGCAGGAGAGGTAGCAGTGGGGTTGACAGGTGAGGTGGCTGGCTGTTCTGGGCATAACAGGCAGTCTAACCCAGGTTGAGTGATTTAGGGAGGAGGGAAGAGCTGATTGGTCTATGGGCTCCTTTTTCCTCCCAGAGTTCAGCTAGGGCTCTGGCCTGCAGTTGACAGAGCTGGGGCAGACTGAGGTGGGGGTTGGGGGTTCCTCAGGAGGACTCAGTGGCTGCTGGGTATGCAAGGTGGAAGGTGGGAGGTACTGTAAGTATGGGTGGGTGGCATTGGAATTGGGCCGTGTTCAGAGCTGTGGTGCTGGCCCTCTAAGCTGAGGAGTGAGGGCTGGGCACTGCTGGGGGCCCTCCCACAGGGCTCCCCTCGGTCCCCTGCCATCCCCAGTGCTTCTCCAGGCCGTACTGAGCTCCCTGCAGGAATCCTTCAGAGGCGGCCTGGGGAAAATCCAGGCCTTCCCAGGTGCCTTGCGATGCCAGCCATTGAACGGTTCTTTTCTGATCCCTGATGACACAGTCTGTGAGTCCTGACGACCGCTTCGTGCTCACTGCAGACAGGGATGAGAAGATCCGGGTCAGCTGGGCTGCATCTCCACATAGCATTGAGGCCTTCTGCCTGGGGCACATGGAGTAAGTGCAGCCCTGTCCCTTGCTCAGACAGTAGACCAGGTTCAAGGTGATGTAGGTAGGCCAGGGCACTGGAAACTGCTGGTGGATGGGTCAGGCCCTCCAGCCAGGAGCAACTTGAAAACCCAGAGCACCCTGCCTGGCTCACGCGGGGCTCCCTGTGTGGCAGCTTCAGACACCCAGGGCTGTGGGGTCTGGGAAGCAGTTGCTCTGAGCTGCTCTCCTGGGGTGTTGCTCCTCTGCCCATTGCCACATCCCACATTGTTTCTGGAAACTCCTCTGGGCCTAGAGACCAGTGGCCAGTGCCTGGTAGTTGCTGGCAGTCAGCAGCTGACTGTTGGTGGGCAGTTCAGCTGTCAGGAGTTAAACGTCTGCATCCATCCCCAGGGTGTATCTCCAGTCTGCTCTCCTGGCAGGGGAGTGCTATATGGGTGGCGTTGCTGAGGAACGCTGTTGTTCTTAGCCAGAGCTGAATACAGGGCGCACAGGGAATGAGCACTCTGTGCATGGAGTGCACTGGAGACATTGTCGGACATTGTCGTTGTCAGTGGAAAAACTGAAGCCTTTACTTTACCTCTGAGGTGGCTTTTGGTTTGTTTTTCTCCTAAGATTTTATTTTTTATTTTACATGTATGAGTGTTTTGCCCGCATGTATGTAAGTGCACCATGTGTGTACAATACCTGCAGAGGCCAGAAGAGGGCACTGCATCCCTTGGAACAGCCACCATGTGGGTGCTGGGAACCGAACCCGGGTCCTCTGGAAGAGCAGTCAGTGCTCTTAACTGCTGAGCCGTCTCCAGCCTGGCTTTTGGTTTCTTGAGTGGGGTGCAGAGGTGGGTGCTGGACTGGCAGCATCGAGGACCCTTGGGGTCTGCTCTGACTACCCGTCTGTGGCTTTGCTCTTTCCCGTGACCTTGTCCTTGGAGCCTCACCCATGGGCCTGGTGTATTTGATCTTCCGTGTAGGCATCTTGGGTAGACAGGTGTGTGGAGTGGAGGGAGGCGGCCTCACCTAGCAGCGCTGCCTGCCCTGCAGACGTTGGGGACCCAAGACCCTGTTCCTCTCCTTAGTTCCTGCTGGTGGGGGAGGGCACCTACCATGCATTAGGTGACCGACCTTCACCCATTGCAGGTTTGTGAGCCGCATCTCTGTGGTGCCTGGTCATCCCGAGCTGTTGCTTTCCTCCTCTGGGGTAAGTGTCTGCTTGGTAGATGGCTACTGCTGGGTACTGTTGCTGGGAGGCAGGAGAGCCTGTGAGAATAGGACCTCGTGTCCCCAGCTCGGGTGCTTCTTCCTGGATCTTAGCTGCCCAGCAGCCAGTTCTGTGTGGTGTGTGTGGGTTTGTGAGTGCCTGGTCCCTGCACAGCAGGCATCACATGTGGACTTTGGCTGCTCAGCAGGGGAAGCTAGCTGTCTTAGGTCCTTTGCCCATGTTCTGTGCCCTGTGTGTCTTGGTGATTTGCGTCTGTCTTTAGAGAAACTTTCCTTTGTAGGGGGTGTCTCCAGCTGATAAGGGGGACCTCCCACACACCCAGCCATGCCAGCCTTCCTGCTTCTGGGAGCGGCCTCCCCACCCCACCCGATAACTCATCTGTCTGCACACAGGATGGCACCCTGAGGCTCTGGGAGTACAGAAGTGGCCGCCAGCTTCAGTGTTGTGACCTGGCCAGCCTACAGGAGCCTGCAGAGCACCCCGGCCACAAGGTAACTTCATGCTTGCCTAGGCTGCTCAAGTGCTTGCGGGGCACTTCCTGTCTGTCGCTCTTGTTGTGGGGAAATGTTCTGTCAGGAAGATTTCTTTGCTGTCAGCGTCTCCGTTTCAGAGAAACTTGCATACTGTTTGAAGTTCTGAGGGTGCCTGATCACACAGTGGAAAGTAACTTACATCTCACCTAAGGGGCCTGATCACACGATGGGAAGTAATTGATGTGTGTGTGTAGACAGCCGGTGGATAGCCTGACCTGTGCTTTGTGGGTGGGCACCCCTGACTCTGTCCTCCTTGGGTCCCTCCTGGTACCTGCTGTACCCATGCAGCCTGTGGCATCGGGTGTTCCAGTGGCCCAGCTGTGTGTCAGGACTGCAGTGTGGCTCTATCCTCTTCTGGACCAGCCCGTGAGCTGCAGGCCCCTTTCTCCACACTTATAAGACTTCTAGAAGCGTCCTCTATTAGTCTCCCATCCTGGAAGCATGGAAGGCCATGGCGTTGAGTCTCTGGCTGCAGCCGCTCTCTCCGGTGTCCCCCACTCTGCCCCTGCTTCCTGCTGTTGCTTTGGCGTCGCACGGCCACACATACTTCCATCACATGAGAGGACAGACTGAGCTGCCATCCTCCCTGATTGCTGGACTGCTCCTGTGCCCTCTCCTTGCCCTGCTTGGCATTATGTGGGCACTGTGGTGCCTGTGGTGAGAATGGTGCTGAGGTGCCCAGGAGCGGAGCCTGGTTAAGTGACGTCTTTTCCTTGCAGGGTTTGGCTGCGTCCAGGATCACGTTCTGGGGACTGGAGAGCTGTGTGGCACTTCTGTGTGACTGGTAAGCCCCAGGCTCCACTGCTCCTGTGACCCCACAGGCTGTCTGGTGCTTGTGTGCTGTTCTTAGGTGAGGGGATGTGGGTGGCCATTGGTACCATCCCCTCTTCCAGAGACCTTACTCTGCCAAATGCTCTTGATTGAGAGGCCTGGGGTCTTCTCTGACCTGGCCCTTCTACTTTGTGGTGATGTCCACCAGCTTAAAGGGTAGCAGTGCCCCCTGGGGCCTTTTGTGCATGTTGGAGCAGTTGTAGGAGATTCCACAGAGAACTGATTCTTCTGGGAGTGGCACCCACAGGGCAGACTTAAGGGCAACATGTAATCGAATGGGTCCTCTAGAGCACCTGCTGAGTGCTGTGGCAGGTCTGGTGCCCTCTATACTCTGCGTTCTGTCCTGTTAACTTCGGGTGACCCTGGCTCACCTTAAAAATAAGAATGCAGGTTTGGAGAAGAGAGAGCTGCCCTCAGAGCCTGGCTTTTGTCCACACCCTGGGGGTGAGGTGGCCTTTGTCCTGTTTGAGTTAGCAGTTGCTATAAAACAAGTTGCCCCAGACCTCAGACAGCAAACAACATACTGTCTCACAGGTATTTGGAGGGGCTCAGTTGGCCCCTTCCTCAAGGCGGGTGGAGGAAGGCTGCAGTGTTCTCAGGCTTGGTGCTAAGATGGGGTGTGGGGGATACCGCCATGGGCACTAAGATGGGGTGTGGGGGTACCGCCATGGGCACTAAGATGGGGTGTGGAGGTACCGCGATGGGCACTAAGATGGGGTTGGGGGTACTGCCACGGGCACTAAGATGGGGTGTGGGGGTATTGCCATGGGTACTAAGATGGGGTTGGGGTACCATCATGGGCACTAAGATGGGGTTGGGGTACCACCATGGGCACTAAGATGGGGTGTGGGGGTACCGCCATGGGCACTAAGATGGGGTGTGGGGGTACCACCATGGGCACTAAGATGGGGTTGGGGGTACTGCCACGGGCACTAAGATGGGGTGTGGGGGTATTGCCATGGGCACTAAGATGGGGTGTGGGGATACCGCCATGGGCACTAAGATGGGGTGTGGCGGTACCGCCGTGAGCACTAAGATGGGGTTGGGGGTACTGCCATGGGCACTAAGATGGGGTGTGGGGGTACCGCCATGGGCACTAAGATGGGGTGTGAGATACTGCCATGGGCACTAAGATGGGGTGTGGGGGTACCGCCATGGGCACTAAGATGGGGTTGGGGGTACCACCATGGGGACTAAGATGGGGTTGGGGGTACCGCCATGGGGACTAAGATGGGGTTGGGGGTACCGCCATGGGCACTAAGGTGGGGTGTGGGGGTACTGTCATGGGCACTAAGATGGGGTGTGGGGGATACCACTCTGGGCCTGTGGTTGCGGTGGTGACCATCTTCTCTCTCCTGGAAAGCGTTCCTGTGATCTTCATCTTCCAGCTTGATGCCAGCAGACGGCAGCTGGTGTTCAGACAACAGCTGACTTTCCCACACCGAGTGTGGGATGTCGTGTTTGAGGAGACTCAGGGGCTGTGGGTTCTGCAGGACTGCCGTGATGCCCCCCTGGTGCTCTGGAGGCCTGTGGATGGCCAGTGGCAGGTGAGACTTGGCAGCATCTGTGTTCTGAGCCTGCTCTCCTGGTGGGGATAGTGTGGCAGGTTGGTGGCCGTCGCTGGGATTTTCTCAGCCCTGAGCCTCCTTCAACTTAATACATCTGGGTGCCGAGGCTGTGCCTCTAAAAGCTGTAGCTGGAGGCCTATTGAAGGGATCTGGGTGCTGGTCAGCTGCGTCTGCCATGGTGTGGGCACAGGAGACGCCTCGGACCTTTGCCAGGCCTTTGCTGCCTCCTATGGGCCCTGGTTTCTGTCCTGATCCTGTTTTCTGTCGTCTGCAGCCTGCTCCTGAAGGTGCTGTGTCCCAGAGGCTCTGCGGCCATCTCCGTGCGAACTGGGCCATGCTGGAAGGTGAGAGTCTGCTGTTGGGTCTGTAGGGCACAGATGTAGTGGGTAGCCATTGTGGAAGTGAAGGGGCTTCACCACCAGAGCAGGTACTGACAGGAAGTGCCCCACAGACCACCAGCACATCCCGCTGTAGACGCGGGAGGAGCAGCACATCAAGGATGTGGGTTCCAAGGGGCCTAGTTGGTGTGGACCCTGGGGCATTGTAAGCCCAGCCCTCTGCGTCTGATGGGCAGGGGCACAGGGCAGGGAATGAGCCAGTGGCTATCTAAGCAGGACCGCCCAGATCCAGTCTTTGTTAAACAAAACAAGGATGACTCATAAAAGATCTTGGAAAGCCAGTTCTCCTTAGAAGTTGGGGTTCCTGGAGTCCAGAGAGACTGACACACCTCATCACAGGGGTGCTGGGCCCAAATGACCTCTGAAGGGCTGTGGCTTCCCTGTTTGCAGTGCTTGTTCCTTCTATAGTCTGAGGTTGAATCGGGACCAGGCTGTCCCGTGGCACAGTCTGGATCCGCTTTCGCAGTGTGTCAAGGTGGACCTGTGGTCGGCCATCCCACGCGCCTGCCAGTGGTGCTCTTTTTTTAGTTTATTTTTATTTATTTATTTATTTTTATATATTATATATACTTATATATATTATTTATATGTATATTATATATATAGGTCGTTTTGAGACAAGGTTTCCCTGTAGCCCCAGCTGTCCTAGAACTCACTGTGTAGACCAGGCTGGCCTTGAACTCACAGAGATCCACCTTAACGTGTGTTTGCCTGCATGTAAGTATCTGTAGTGCTTGTGGAGGCCAGAAGAGGGTGTCGGATCTCCTGGAACTGGAGTTACAGGCGGTTGGTTGTAAACCACCATGTGGGTTCTGGCAGCTGAACCTGGGTCCTCTGCAAGACCAGCCAGTGCGCCTAACCCTGAGTATCTTTCTAGTCCCTAGGCTTTGTTTTGTATTTGTGTGTGTGTGTGTGTGTGTGTGTGTGTGTGTGTGTGTGTGTGTGTGTTTGCACATTTGGCGGTCAGGGAGGACTAGGAGAAATCAGTTCTCTCCATCGTGTGGGTTCTCACGGGGTGAGATCAAAGTGGGATAGTGGCTTGGAGACATGTGCCTTGACCTGCTGAGCCACCTTGCCAGCCCCCACTGTAGCTCTTGGTGCTCAGTCTATGCTGCTCTCAGGCCTGTGTGGGGCCTGTGCGGTCTGGGCTGGTTGAAGGTCACTCTGTAGCTTCAGGCCAAAGCTTGGCTCCAGTTCTAAGCTATTCCTCAGAAACGGGCTGAGTGGAGTTGGGGAGGTGTGTGGGCGGGACAGGGCATGGGAGGGTAGGAAGCCATGTCCACCTGCAGGATAGGAGTGGGAAGGGAGGCGGTGCTGACTCCTAGGGTGCCTGGTCAGGGCCCCAGCTCTGCAGTCCATTGTGTGGCACACTTTCACCACCTAGAGGCACGGCTCTCCTGCTGCCTCACTGTGGTGTGGAGTCCTGTAGCCCCACTGGGCTCCCTAGGCTGCCAGGCACTGGTATGCAGCACAGCTTGGCTCCGGCTCACCAGGAGCAGGGTCTACCCTGCTCACTGGTTCAGAGGATTCAGGCCTTGCTTCTGTGCTGCCCCAGCTCGGGGCTTGTGCTGGTTTTCTGGTGAGTAAGTGGGAAGCGCTCGGCTCTACCCCCACCTCCACCCTTCATCCTGTCAGAGCAGGTCTCCATGTCCATTTGGAGTGTGGATCCCAGGAGGTGGGGGCTCACAGGCCTCCTTAAGGTGCCCCACAAGTCCAGGTCTTCAGGGTACCCGTGACCTACTTCTCCCACGGGGTGGCCTTGTGGGAAGTCTGGGTGCTGGTCACTGGGCCTGGCTCACCTGGCCTCTGTTCTTACCCTGTCACAGGCTCCTTGGGTGCAGATGATGGCTTCCGCAGCCTTTACAAGGCCACCTTGGACAACATGACCTCTTACCTGAAGAAGAAGGAGGAGAGACTGCAGCAGGTGAAACGGCGGAGGAGGAGCCTCCTTCCAGGGCCCCCAGGACCTACCGGAAAGGCCTGCTCAGAGCCGGCGGCCTTGAGCTGCTGACCTTGGACTTGGCAGTGGCTCTCGGCCCTGAGGCCCATGAGCAGCTTTCATATGACCCTCGTGTCTTACCCCAAGGGGAGAGAGGGTGGCAGCCCGGTCCCCACCACCAGCTCAACATGGCCTCTGGTCTCCAAGCTCCACAAGAGTCTTTGTCGCTGGAGCGCACACTCCTGTCCGGTATCTGTGACCCCTTGTTGCAGGGAAGCTTTGCAGTGTGTTAGCCTAGCTAATGATTCTGCCTAGCCTTGTGGAAACACCTTCACGTTGAAGGATGCACCCTGGCCTGCAGCACTGACCACTGACGTCTACCAGTACCATGGCACCACCATGTGGGTCTCTGAGGCGGTCTGTAGGCAGGACGGGCCTCTTTATGCCATTGCTGTTGGCTCCTTCCAGGTGGTGCACCATCTCCCACAGGCAGCACCGTGTCCCACGGGTAGCACTGGCCATGGGCTGTTGTGACTCACGTGGGTCAGACGTTCTTTCTCTGTAGCTCCACACTCAGCAGCCGTGTGTGTTTAGTGGCTCATTTTGGGCTGAGCAGAAGCAACATGGACATTTTAAGGGAGCTGGTGACAAGGTACTGGTGCCCCAGGGGACCTTCAGGGCATGTGAAGACTTGGCCTTGCCCAGGTCCTTGTTTACAGGAAAGACCGCTGACATTGTGGGTCTTTATTGCTTTGATGTAAACTGAACACTGGAACAGGGAATCAGCTGAACATTCATCACCAATAAAGATGAGCTTTGGGCACAGTTTTCCAGGATATTCAGCAGCACTGTACAGAGCCGGTCTCAAGGTACTCTGTGTGTGCTGTTTATAGATGGCGTGGCTCTTGGTGGTTAGGTGCGTAGTGGTATTGGGTCTCTGGGCCCATTTGTCCACTTTCTGTCCTTGTGTCCCAGACCAGTTCAGCAGTTCATGCTGGTGATGACTTGGCCTGAGGAGATTGCTCAGTGGGAAGGAGCGCTTGCAAGAGGGCCTGAGCTCAAATCCAGCACCCACGTGTAAAAACAAAAGCTGGGCATAGCTACGTGTGCCTGTAACCCCAGTATTGGGGGAGAGGGTTGGACAAAGGGGGATCTGGGCACTCACTGGCCAGTCAGCCTAGCTGAAATGGTGAACCTCAAGTTCAGTAAGAGACCTCATCTCGAAATGGTGGAGGCAGTAGAGGGAAGGTTATCCTCCATCACCCTCTGGCCACCACACGGCTGTGTGCGCAGTAACACTAGAACAGTCCCCCAGCCATCACAGCTGCACTGCCTCAGGTATGTACATGTGCCGTGTTTCTTGTCTCAGCATCAGTTTGGAGATGATGGATTGGCCCACAAACTGCACAGCAGGGGCTACAGTGAGGCCACGCCCTCTTGTACAGCCCCCAACTCGAGCACTGGTGGATATCCCAGGAGAAGCGGTTCTGCAAACTATCCTGTGGGTCCTGTGAGCTAAGAAGGGTTTGCACTTCAGCTGGAAAGAAAAGTTTTGTCATGACTCAAAGACCATGTAAGTTCAAGTTAGAGGGTCAAGGAATACAGCTTTCCAGTGATGGCCGCTGTGTTCGCTGTGCCCGTCGTTCAGCTGTTTGGCATTTGTTTCCTGTGTGTCAGAGCCAGCACCTGCAAGGCAGCATCCTCTCTGAGGTAACCCTCAGGTGGCCACGTACTCCTGGACATAACTGGTGTGCTGTCGGAGCTATTGAGGTCACTAGTGTCTGGCTTGGAGGTGCAGGTCTGGTCACACAGGTGGTGCTAGAGAGTCCTCATCCTCATGTTGGGAGAGGAGGTAGGGAGGCACTTGGAACCTTCTTACCAGTGACAGCTCTGTGAGTTTTAGTCCTAAAGTCCTGTTTTGTGTCATAAACAGCAGTGAGTGATGATTGATGGCCTGTTCTGTGCCCCTCCCCATAATCCTGTCTTATTTTTCTCCCCAAGGCCACAGTGTCTTTGGTTTTAGGATTTTTGAGATAGGGTCTATCTATAGCTCCAAATGGCTTGGAACTTAACTGGCTGTGTAGACCAAGTTGGCCTTGATCTCATAGAAATCCACCAGCCTCTACCTCCTGAGTGCTAGAATTAAAGGTGTGTGCCACCATGCCCAGCTCTTGTTATGTGTATGAATTTTTTGCATGTGTGTGAGTGCACCTGTACATGCAGTACCTGTGCAAGAGGTCATTGGGTCTCCCTGGAACCAGAGTTACAGATTGTTAGCTGCCATGTGGGTGTTGGGAACTGAACCCTGGTCCCCTGCAAGGGCTGCCAGTAAATAGTCTTAACCACTGAGCCTGAGCTCTGTCTGGCCCTGGCCACGGTGTCCCATAGTGGACCACGCTGCCATTGTCTCCGGCAGAGGTCGCCATGCATGCGTGAGCGGGTTCATTCTCCATCTGTCTGCCCTGTTTGCTCCTGGTCCTGCTGGCCTGAGGCCAGGGGTGCTTGGCCAGTGGAAGCACCACAGTGGTGTCGGGGAGAAGAGGGTCCTGCTGTCCCCTAGCCAGCCAGCAACTTGCTGCAGCAAGTCTTCTGTCTGCCCTCTTCTCACTCTGGGGCCCCTAGGGGCTCCTGTTTCCTTCAGTCTTATTTCTGGACCTGTAGTTGGTCCCATTGGTCAGGACTCCTCGTGCCTCTAGGCTGGGTGTGTAGCTCTATTTTTGCCAGGGTCCTAGGCTCGTTCGTACGCCACACCTTGAGTTTGCCCAGAAACTTCTTCCATAGTAGACTCAGTCCCATTCATGTGTTGTATTTAAGGGCTTTGCGTCTTTTTTTAAATTATTTTATGTATATGCGTGTATTGCCTGAATATAGGTAAAGTGCACCCATGTCGTGCAGTGTCTGCGAGGACAGAAGAGGCTGTCAGATCACCTGGAACTGGAGTCACAGAGGGTTGTTAGCTGTCATATGGGTGCTGGGACCTGAATCTGGTCCCCTGCAAGAGCAGTCAGTGCTCTTGACCACCGAACCATCTCTCCAGCCCCTTGGTTTTACATTTTGATGGAAGGACATGTAGTGCCCTTGTGACAATGTTCCTGGGAAGATGTGAACAAATGATTACTCACCCCAGATAGGGAACTGACACCCAAGTAAGCAAGCTGCTGGGGGCGGGGGGCAGGACACGAGGAGCGCACAGGAAGCAGGTGTTCCGTTTAAGCTGCAGCCTGGTCCAGCAGACTCGAGCCTCAGAATCTGGACCCTGCTGGGAAGCAGCACATGGCTTTCATACCTCAGGGATAAGGGCTAAGTTCATTGGGGTACGCTGAGAAGGAAACTTACATACAGGTTATCAGCAAAGTCCTAAAACCAGGCCAATTGTTCTAAATTTAGGGGGAAAAATGAAAGAAAAAAAAAATCCTGGCTGAAAGTCATTGCAGACGTCTCTGTCTGAGACAGTTTGGTCAGGACACAAGGCCGGTGGCTGTAGCTAGTTATGTCAGTGTTCTAACCACAGCCTTGTCAGCTAAACCTTCCTGACAGAAAACAAGGATTAAAGTCCATATTAAGGGGGCTGGAGAGATGCTCAGCGGTTAAGAGCACTGACTGCTCTTGCAGAGGACCTGGGTTCAATTCCCAGCACCCACATGGCGGCTACAAATGTAAGAAGCCCTCTTCTAACCTCTGCAGCATTGCATGACACTGGTGCACTCACATACTTGCAGGCAGTATACTCATACACATAAAATAAAAATAAAATATTTTTTAGAAGTCCATATTAGGGGCTGGAGAGATGGTTCAGTGGTTAAGAGCACTGACTGCTCTTGCAGGGGGCCCGGGTTTGATTCCCAGCACCCACATGGCAGCTGTGAACCGTCCTTAACTCCAGTTCCAGGGGAATCTGAAGCCCTCTTCTGAGCTCTGTGGCATTGCACGCCACGGGTGCACTCGCATGCAGGCAATACACTCATACACATAAAATAATAAAAATATTTTAAATGTAAAAAAATAAAATCCATATTAATCCCAGCACTTGGGAGGCAGAGGCAGGGTGATTGTTATAGGATGGAGTTCGTAAAAAAATCACCAACGCCACTTTAAGAAAAGCAGCAAAGTAAATTTTAATTTTCGACCGGCCGGGCAGTCTATCTCGGGAGTAGAAGCAGCCCTGATGATTGTCAGGTCAGAGTTTTTATAGGATTACAGAATTAGTATTAAAACAGGACATTTGTGAACCAGTCAGGTTTGTACAACATAGCAGAGTTTTGACTCTATTAATCAACAACCAGTCATTATACAGACAAGTGATACAGTCATATAACTTGGCAATCAACTTTGTGACCTTAAAACTGGCCAACTGCTTTAGCCATAATAAGTATAATAAGACAGTCAAGGTAAGTGACTTCTAGGTGGTCATACAATAACAGGATAACAAGGGTGGTCTTATGCCCTGTGTCAAGATGACCCAAGTTAGCAAGCGGATTACAGAAGCGGAAACAAGCTGGTTAGTCAGATGTAGGATGTCTGGAATTAGCACATTCCATGATTCATGGCAAGGGCAATTTTCCAAGGCCCAAGGTTGCCCCCCTTTTCCTTTTGGTGTGGAGCAGAGTTGCTGCTGAAATGGCTCTGAACAAAACGGAGTAACTTAGGGAAGTTTGCTGAGCCAGTTCAGTGATCTCTGAGTTCAAGGCCAGTCTGGTCTACATATTGAGTTCTAGGCCAGCTGAGGCTACAGGGAGACCCTGTCTCAGACACAAAAGACCAAAAAAAAATCCATATTTTCCTTAACTACCAGGCTCTACATCAACTTCCCCATTTGCTTTGAAACTGCATTAATTTAACCCAGAGTTAAACTATAGAGGCCCATCCTCTTGTTCTAGGGCCTCACATAATGCCATGACCCTGGCTGTGGGTCTCTCCATAGTAGTAATACATCTCATACAGAGGGGACCAGAAAAGGGAGTGACACATTTCTACCAGTATATGTC